GCAGCCAGGCCGGGGCGGGGGCAGTAGCCGGGCCAGCAGGGGTGGTGAGGGGAGGCCATGATTCCACTTCAGCATCGGCACCAGAGGGAGCCGCTCATCCACCAGGTAGAGCGAGAACTGGGGGCCCGAGAAAGAAGAGGATAGGGTTGAAACCAGGGAGACTAGCTGTCTGCCATCCTGGTGGCCCTTTCCAGGCCTGCACAGCTCCCAGGAGGGCAGAGCCAGGGGCACAGTACTCTCAAGCCAACCTGCAAGGCCTCCGACCCGCACTGCTGCCCGGGCAGGGGGCATTTCCCAAGTGGGCAGTGCCATTGCCAGTTCCCACCACAGCTATGGGAGTTGGCACTTCTGCAAGAAAGGGCCCTCAGAGGTGTGGAGTCTCATCAGCGAAACCCACCTGGCTGTCCCGCAGTACCCCATGCGCACCTGACCCTGGACCTGTGCTTGAGACATACACAATCACAGGCTAGTGGGGGGAGCCTGCCCTGCCCCTGCACACAGCCCGACTGTCCAGCTTTGCACAGACACCTTGGCCTTGGCATCTCTCCTCACCTGCTCCATCCCTAGCTGCACCTCAAAGCCCTCCTGAGATGTCACCTCCTCTGGGAGGTCTCCCCACCCACCGGTCAGCACCAGCCGTGGAACCCAGTGCGAGTTTAGGCCAGGTATGCCAAAGTCTGGATCCCCAGTTGCTGTCCAGGCCTGGTGGGCAGCAGGCTCCTGGGACCATCTAAGACAGGGCACAGGCAGGGCAGGGCGGGCACCACTCACCTGGGTACAGATGAGGTGGAGAGTGGGAGGGAGGGATTCAGGGCTGGACTGCCCCAGGTACTGGGTGAACAGGACACGCTCCCCTTTCTGGCATGAGGCCTCCGCCCCCACACGGAAAAGCAGCAGACCACAGCCCGGTGGGCCCTGGAGAGGAGACACAGGTCAGTCCTCCCCAGTCCCAGCCATGATGCTGTCCTCCCCCCTGGGGTCTCCCGCTCCAAACCTGAGTGTCAGTCATCTTCACTCCAGTGCGGTCACCCACAGTCAGCACCCGAGGGTGGGCAGTGAAGTCTGCCCAACGCCAGGAAGAGGGGTCCCGGAACACAAGGGTCTCAGAGTCCTTGTAGACTTGACGCAATCTTGGGGAGATGGAGAGGCCGTGGGTGGGGGGACAGGCTGATGGGGGAGGGGTCAGGACATGCTGAATAGGGAGCAACGAACTGTGTTCAGTTTGCTGAGTGGGGGCTTTCTGGGTGGGGGCATTACCCATCCTCAGGGGCCCACAAGCAGACGGCTCCTGAACGGCTACAGATGGCCAGTTCCCCGGGCAGGTGCGGGCTAGGGACATAAGTAGGGTAAGTGTCGGGCTGCCCAGCCCCTCCCCCAGCCCCCCTGCCGACTGGCCAACTTGCCCTCACCTGAGGCTGATCCCCGTGGCACCCC